GTCTGTACCATCACTCAAAGCCTTTTCTACATCACTGGTTGCTACTAAATTTAGTTTATATACTGCACTTCAAAGAAACTCGGGATGAAAGCAAACCTCAATGGACTCTGTCTCACTACTAATGATATCAGAAATGCCGTGGAAGTTTATCTCATTTTTTGTTTCTCATAATCTTACTGAAGTGTGCTTTGCTCTGCTTTGGAATCACCTGCATCACTACTTACATGTTCAGCTCTTGATTCAGTGGAGAATATCCTGCAAAACAAATAGTAAGATATAAAGAGATGTGTATATAATGTGTGGCATGGCTTAGTAGTATCATCTTGGTATGGTATTGTCATAGTATAATAATAGTAATTTACTTTCTTATACAGGGCTTCCCTAGCCATTGCCAGCCATTCAAAGTGCATGTTGTTGCCCAGGTTCTACATTAGTCAAAAACCACGTGAAAAGAGGTATGATTTAAAAGGACTTTTAAAGAATGATAGACTTGATGCATTGCAGTTCAACAGGGAGTGTTCCAAAATTTAGGAGCATTGACAGAAAAAGCATGATCATCAAAATGTGAGAGAGAGAGAGAAAGAGAGAGATTGATTAATCCTGTTCTATTTGAAAGCAATTTACATGGTCAGACAAACTATTGCAGACTTAACTTTATTTAACTCTTTCACTACGAGCATCTTTTTCTGTGCATGTCACAAGGTTTTAGTGAGCTACATTCAAAATTTAATTAATGTACTTTATAATCATGGTACATTAATAAATACAGCATAAAAAAGTAGCTAATAATCCATATTTTAATAGTATGTAAGTGTTATGTTCTTAAATTTATAACTTATAAGGCAATATTTTTAAAAATCCTAGAACAAAAGCCTTTCTAGCAATATGAGATTTGAAGGATTTCATCTCGAAATTTACGAGAAAAGGTCCAGACAGACAGACACAAGCATATTATTTATATATATATTATTCATTGATATAAAATGTACTAATAAACAAAATATACTACAAAAATACTGTAACTAACCTGAATGCCTTGACAAAGTTGGACCCATTATCAGTAGTGGTCTTGGTAATCTTGTTTTGAATGCAATATTTGATGTGAATTGCTTCCAGTTCCTTGGCGATCAAGTCATAGGTGTGGTGGCCAGTGAGATAACGGCAAGCAAGCACTGCATATTCCCTCTTCAGGCTTTCTGGGTCAACTCAGTATACAGTTATGCCCAAATAGTATCTGTAAAAGTAAGCAATGCAAAGCTAAACTAGTGAATGCAAAATGGTACACCATACACGTTCAATGCAGATGCTATGCTGATGTTTATTTCAAGTCTTATTCTATTATTAAATGTTTTAAGTTTCAGAAACAACATTAATTTTTTAATCCATAAAATGAAAAATGTTAACAATTTATTACAACTTACCTGTTGCGGCAGCTCCAACAGTTGGCTCTGTTCATGAGCCACTCTACTGTCCAAAGCTTTTCTTTCAGTTAACCTATTTTTTTTGGCTAAATTTATCGTTAATTGCACATGTTAGGGCTTTACTACCAAAAACTGTTTTATTTGGCTGTAATGTCTAAATAAGATTTTTAAAAGCTGCAATTTGATAAATTTGAAAGGAAGCAGTTCCTCAATGACCAAATCAGTTTTGAGTGCATTTATTTGACATTGGCTAACCCTCTCGGCACTAGCAGCAATGAATGCTCCAAGAGTTGGTCGTTCTGTTTAATTTTTCCCAGTTTTTCTCTTACTAGAAGTATGGGCCCCTGTCTCTCCTGCTTCATCCAGCTGATCATTTGCTTCACCTATTTGCCTCCATTCCTTTCTTGATGCCCAATTCAAAATCCAAGTGTTTATGGGAATGTTTGTAACTAATGTGTTTCTTTACATTAAAACTGATTTCTTATTGGCACTGTAAATATTCTTTGGGATCCACTTTCACTTCCAACAAATTCAAAATAGTCTTTTACGTAAGGCAAATGATGGCTGCTACTATGATTAGACTCACTGTTAAAAGCTTCTGTATCAGAAACATCAACTTTTGTTTACCAGATTTCATTTTTGACATTAGCTAATGAACATGGTGAGGCAACTTCACACTAAATGTTGCTTTGACAGAATGACAAACAGAAATAAGGAGAAATGACAAAATGACATCTGGTTGCCATAAAGAACAAGTTCAATTCTGATGCAAAAAGTCCATGACAGTAACTGCATCACGTAACAAATTTAATTGTTTTTCATAAGCAAAATGCAGTGTCAATATATTTATATACAATGTATTAAACAAAATATATAATACAATTATATATTATAATAACCAAATAATAATAATATTATAATATATATTATAAATCATGATTTATAATAATATACATGCCTGGGATTTTCTTATCTAATTATCCGAGATGAAATGTAAACTATCTGGCTCTTATGAAAATCTTTTATTATCAAATGAATTGTGTTAACCACAAAAAGTTTCTGCTAGAATTGTCCAGCTCAGGAATTTAATAAAACATTTAACAGCACTTCTAAACTAAATTTTTACATAAAAATAAATTAATATTAAATTAAACTGAACATATAAACAGTGATAAATATAACAATATTATAAACAAATACAACAAATGCTTTATATATGTTACATAGTATTACATCACAGATAGCTGACAAGCCATCACTGCAGATCAAATCAGCTGAATGTGTCAGGAAGCATAAATGAGTCTAATTAAGTCCGAAACAATATATATATAATAATAAATAATAACTATACATATACAAAACATAATCATATTGTTATGACAGCGGAAGTCAAGTGACGCTGGTAATACGTGATGAGTTTCTAGAAGAATCATGAAGGCTCAAGTGTTTGCCAGACGCCCTCTATTTTAATATATAAGCCCGGCAAATAAAGCAAAGATAATGATTGCAGATAGACAGATATAGAGACATATAATTGAGTCAAGTGAGCGGTAGTGACCGTAAGTAAAGTGCGTGAATCGTTGTGAATCATAGCATGTGTTTAA